ACCACGGGAGCAGCAGAGCAGCACAAGCACAGAACTCCCACAATCTAAGCAACTGAACACATCAAGCAGGTTTTGCAAGCTTGGATGTAGTTTATGGTGCAACAACTGTGCTGCCAGCAATACCTGAGCTTAACTAGCTTAAAATTGCCATGAGCTGTGGCACCTCCTCACAGACATACCTGCAGGCTGTGGTTCAACCACAGCCACAGTCCTGAGTAAACAGGCATCATTCCTCCCTGTCTCCTGCTACTCAGTTCCACTGTCTTACCCTTCCAACCTGACACAACCTGCTGGCAGACATTTGTAACCTCATTAGGGTCCCACATTGGCTGAAAAGTACTCCAGAAAGAGGAAACAAAAAAGCAAAAAGATCAACAACTAAGTTTGGTTTTCTGAATCCTCGCCCAGGTACTGAGCAGTGTCACAAATGTGTCACCCTAAAACTGCTAAAAGGCTGAAAAAAGCAGACACAGATAAAAATAATAATAAAAAAAAGCTAAGATTAAAAAGTTGTTCAAATTAAAGTCATGTGGACAATTCATGTGATGATTTACGAAAATTTTGAACAAGTGTCTGAGCCTGTTGCTCACAACTGCTCTGACCTGACACTGCTCTGACCTGACCACGGCTCAAAGGGCCAGTCCAGTTTCCCCATCACTGCCTCTCCTGCCACATTCGTGCTGGCATCTGCCATGACCATTCTGGCACATGTTACTGGATTCCTCTCACCCCACAGCAGCCTGATCCCAAGTGTTAGTACAGAAGTTGTGGAGGGTTCACCCTTTTTATGATGGTGACTCTGCAGCCTATGCCAACAGACAAGAGGAACCACAAAACCAGCACCTGCACAGTGGTCACTGCATCTACTCAGAGCACCTACAGACACCTACAGGAGCAGCACAATTTAGTCACTTTTAAATTTTGTGCACATAATCTCATCTACACGTTCTAGTTATCAATGAGGTTGGATGGACACAGGCTTGCCCACTCCAGAATAAAGGCAATGCTCTTTAAATTCTTTTGTGAATAGTTTGCCTTCAATTACCATTAAAAAAACACCTACTGAAGATCCCTTAATTTATTTCACAAGTCTTGACACTATATAAACTAGTGAGTATTTAATTCATACTAATAAGAACATAGACAAATATTGACTAAAAAAGTAAAAGTGATGATCAATTAACACTGGAGGAACAATAAGCATTCCATTGAAAGCTTCCAGATAATGACTGAATTAGCTCTTTTACTTGAGAGCAGCACATGAGAAAACATCACTGGAACCACTGGACAGGATGGAGTGTATTGTCATCATAAGTTTCTGAAAAGGTCCAGGTATCTTTAAAAAAGAATATGGTAAATAAAGCTTCAGATAGGTTCTCTTCAAGAGAAGCAGATCAGACCAAGCCTCAGACACTCTCTTCCCTTTTCTCAAACAATTATTGTGCCAAATGAAGTCCCACTGCACTGGTGTCTCATACCCAGGCTTTCTCTAGATTCTGTTAATTTGGACACAGGCTGGAAAAAGTGCAAACCATGGCAGAAACTGCACTGGAAAGCCCACTCATCTGTAGTCTCACATGTGAGTCCACACCCCTTGCAGTAGCATGGAATGTACAAGACCCTACTCAGTCTCACTGCTGTTTTTCAAACTGCAGAAACAACTTTAAAACTGCCAAGCTGCTGCTTTCACAGCACAGATATTACTTGAAAAAGACTTAAGCAGAAGCAGTCAGCCCCAGAAGTAATTCATGTAAGAAGAGAAAACAATTTAAAAGAGTGTAAGTTTGGGATCCTGCCATTTGTTTCCCCATAACCCACCTACAAGTTGTTTAACTGTTAAAAAACTGCAAGTACTCAGGATCTTGAAAACCACTTGGAAATTAAAGATCATACAGCTCTACCATTTAAATTCATAAAAATTAAGAATATGCCATAATACACAGTGGCCAGTGAGTTACGATAAGAGCTGCACTCAATCTAATTCTACTTTGTTGTCATGATGAGTGACAGGAGAGTCACTTCCCTGTCCTAATTTCCCTAAAAGGAAAATAAAAAAATGTGTTTGCCAGTGCAATACCAAAAAAAAAAAAATCATATTGCCAGCTAATACTAGAGTCCTTTAGATTCTCCATGGCTGTGTCTGCACTCTGCCAATGTCTCTTGGGTCTAATTGGTTCTGTAATGTCTCCCATTACGCATATTGTCATTGCGTTGCTCAGAAACTATAGAACACATCATCCCACTGTAAATTCACTGTCTATGCAAGTCTTACCAAATCATACAGATCTGACTCGTCAACTACTTATCAGTAATCCCAACCCATTTGATTGCAGGAATAAATGTATATCAAATAATATATTCAAACGCAGGGTCTATAGCATGAGAACCCTCCTATTTAAATATTCATTTTATAATTCCTGTACCAACTTGCAACAGATTTACCACAGTATTTTCAGCTAACATATATTGCTTTTGCAAGTAATCCATGATACATACATTATATTCTTCTTACAGAAATATTCAAAACTTTACGCAGGCACCGTGCTTACAATGATGGTCTTTATCATGAAAATTACTAGATATTCTTCTATAATTTATCCCCAAGATACACATTCTAAGTCATGTTTTTATACAAAGTGCCTTTAGTAGGAGCACTGAAAATTGCTTTTAATAGTTTGGTCTTACTATCACCACAAATTAACAAGATGAAATCTGTCCAACAGGCAAGCAGTCCTAAACAAGAATTCAAATTACTTTTCACCAGGGGTCCTAAACCTGGAAGTTGCAGCCTCAATCCAACTGAAGACAGAAAGTCATGAACATCCTGTTCTTTTAATATTTTCAAACAGGAAGGAAGCCTCAGTTCACGAGTTCTTCAGAGCAGCTCTTTAGAACTTAAAAGCTCAGGACTATAGCTGAACCAGGGTTGTACAATGGCCCGAGTGTTAAAATAATCAACTATGATTAAAATATTATCCTTAATGGGGCAATAGATATTGCTCTATTCCACTATTACACTTAAGGTTGCCTTCAGGCTAATGGGAATAAATAGGTGTCTTTATACCTAATCAAGCGTCACTGGGACAGCACAACATCACACTAATTAAAATAAATATATTTGCCCGCTTAAACGCCAGTATATAGAGATATTGTTCTGGCCAAATAATTTTACTATTTGTTATGATTCTCACGCTATAATTACTAGTTTATCAAAGTGCTGGATAAGTAATTCTCCCTCATCTCTGTGCTGAAACCAAAACATGAGCCTTCAACTTCAGTAATTTTATGAGAAACATATGAATCTCTGAAAAGAGGCAACTGAAATGAAAAGACCTCCTCCATCTTAAAATACAATATTTTCGTAACTGAAAATAGTGTTGTAATCCAATTATATATATTCATTGCATAGAGGGAAAGTCTACTACATCTTCATCATGACACTCCATTGTAACCAAGATGTGTAGTTCTTTAGTATAATTTCATATTGAAGCTGAAGTGTTCCATTTTTTTTAGCCAATTTGCAGAAATTATGTAAAGTTTCCCTCTGATAAAATATAACTTTAGTACATCAGCCTAACAGAGGCTTAATTAATGGTCTCCTGGGCCTCTTTTCCACTGGAGCAGATCTGTTTAAGAAGAGTCTTAAACTTGCTTACAGAGGGGTCTTACCCATGAACTGGGAATAATTGTAAGTGGCTATGACAGACATGTGCTTAGGCATCGGGCCTGACCAACACTAATGTACCAGGGAAATTGTTCTTCACCAGATTCCACCACCTTGAAAATTAACTGAAGAAGCCCAAGCTGACAAGCCACTATCACCAATTATTGGTATAATGGGTTACTCTCTTTGCAGAATGGACGATGTGGAGTATTCCAGCAGATCCTCCGACTGTTCATTCACATTAATGGTCAGTTGGCTACACAGATCTTTTAGAAATGATCTAGGGGGCTATTGAAAGGTAGACATGTTTTTGCACACAATACTCCAGATTTTTATACCATGCAGGTGTTATTCAGTTTTCTTATTCTTAACTAAACCAATATGTGATAAAATACAGGCTGAAGATAAAGCCCTCTGTCATAACTGAGGAGCTCTGCTGTGCACCTTAGAATTGGCACAAAAAATTTTAATAATGTGAGAAAAATGAGCAGAAGAGGTGAAGGGCTAACTGGGCAAACGTACTTGTGTCAATAAAATATTGAACATGACCATGAGTTAGTTTCACAGTGACTCTTGCACCCACCCAGAGTTCAGGGTAAGGCTGAGACCTACAAGCCCAGAATTGCACTCGCTAAGTTATCAGAGCCCACTTGCCTTACACCACGAGTGTAATTCTTAAAAAAAAAACCAAAACAAACCAAAACAAACCAAACAAAAAAAACAAACAAAACAAACAAAAACAAACAAACAAACAGGAAAAGCATCTTGAGTTTTGCACGATGGTCTCAGGTGGAACCAGCCTCCGAACTCTCGGGAATAATTTCTGCAGGAGAGCCTGGTTCTTTCCAACTCATTTCAAACACCACCAACATTGATACACCCGCTCTTCAGCCTGGCCCGGGAGCCCTTTGGGATGACGCAGGTCACAGACCCGGCCGGGCCCTGCTCGGGAGGGCTGGGAGGTGTCACTGTGGCGGGGACACCGTGGCCAGGCGAGCGCAGGGAGCGAACACGCGCTCACGGGCTGGCGGGGGGCGCAGGGCGGGCCGGGGGGCGCGGGCAGGGCCTCCGCTCCCGCCGCCTCCCGGCCCGTCCCCCGAGGGCTCCGCGGCAGCGCCGCCGCTCCCCGTCCCCCGCGGGGCTCCCTCGATTCCCGGGGCTCCCGCGATTCCCGGGGCTCCCGCGGGTCCCTGGGGCTCAGCCCCGCTGCCCCCGGCCCGCCGCCCGTGACGTCACGCGGCCACGTGCCCGCCCCCCGCCCCGGGACCCCCGGCCCGGCCCGGCCCGGCCCGGCCCCCCCCTCGCCCCCGGCCCGGCCCCTCCTGCCCTCCGTTACCTTCTCGTGCTCCCGGCGGAGCCGCCCCACCAGCGCGGGGCTCAGCGGCGCCGCGCCGCCGCCGGGGGCCTCCATGCGGGCCGGGCCGGGCCGGGCCGCGCCGGCGGTGTCCGGGGGAGCGGCGGGCTGAAGGGAGGGGTGGGCAGCGGCCGGTCCGGGCCGATCTCCTCAGCAGGGCGAATGAGTCCTATAGAAATGTTTGTGCAGGGCGAAGCGCCGGCTCCAGAGCCGCATCCACGCGGGGGCCGCCGCCGCCTGGGCCCGAGGCGCCGCCGCCGCTGCCGGGGGAAGAAGCATCTCAGTGTCGCATTCTGGGCCGCGCCGCCGCCGCCTGGGCCCGGCTCCCGCTGCTGCCGGGGGAGAGCCGGGCTGGGGTGGGTGTGGGTGGGTGCCGGCGGTGGGTCCCGGCCGCGCCGCCCGCCCGCCTGCTGCACTCTGGGTACCGCCCGGCCCGCGGGAGGCACCCGGCTGTGCGAGCCGCGAGAGGCGGGCGCTCCACACCCCCTGCCCGGCCCGGCCCCCGCGCCCCGCACCGGGGCTCCCCGGCAGCCCACGGTGCCCCCGCAGGCCCCGGGCGACAAGGCCTGGGCGTCGGGAAGGGAAACAGCGGCCGTGAAGCGCTGAGAGGGGCCTGCTCTGATCCCAGAGCCGCGCGCAGACAGGGCTGTGTGTCCTTTGGAGGGGCCGTCACCGTAACTGCCCTCCAGCTCTGAGGACTGTGCACTGCCAGGGCCAGCTGGTGGTGAATAATCACAGAATCACAGGATGGCTTGGGTTGGAAGGGACCTTAAAGACAGAATCATCGAATCAAGGTTAGAAGATACCTTTAAGATCATGAAGTCCAACTGTCCACCCACCACTGCCACTCTAACCCCTAAACCACTGAACCACATCACCCAACACCTGATCCAGACACCTCATAAACACCTCCAGGGATGGTGGCTCCACCACCTCCCTGGGCAAGGTATTCCAATGCCCTGACAGTGAAAAAACTTCTAGTATTTAATCTGAACCTCCTCATCTAGTCCCAACCTCCTGGCGTGGGCAGGGACACCTTCCACCAGACCAGGTTGCTCAGAGCCCCATCCAACCTGGACTTGAACACTTCCAGGGTTGGGGCATTCACAACTTCTCTAGGCAACCTGTTCCACTGTCTCACCACCCTCACTGTAAAGAATTTCTTCCTAATACCTAACCTAAATTTCCCCTCTTTCAGTTTTTACCCACTATTCCTTGTCCTGTCACAACAGTGGGCTGCCATGACCTGGGGGATTGCAAAACATTCACTAAAATACCTTAGAGCAGCACTCGGCCTTGCCTACATGCAAAATGAGTGGTGTACAGCTGCCCTTGGAGTACCACAGAGTAATTTATGTGCAGTAAATTCATTAGCTAATTTTGTGAATGGCTTTAGACACGTCAGGGTAACACCATTACTAGTTGGTAATGGAAGAGAGCCGTGCTTTAACAGTGTGCTGGTTCACAGTGCCACTGGAGGCCCGAGCAGCTTCATATAGTGCTTGATGCCTTTCTAGCAGGTGTATTTTAACTTCTACACTCTAAATACCACGTGGGTGCATTCAGTCATAGATCTTGTGTTTACTGCTGCACCTTTCCTTTGAGTGGACACCCTGCATATATATTTGCCAGCAGAGCAGAGGGGCTTATGCTGTCATTAGACAAAGGTACAAATGGGCATCTTCCCTATATTTAGTTCAGGGGTTTCCTTCTCCTGCAAAAGAATCAACACTTCCTTTCCATGAGCAGAACTAACCCTGTAACACCACAGAACAACTGTTTGTGTTATAAACATGACATAGTATGTGCCATGAGGTTTTCTAAATTCAGGTTCCCATCCCCCTTAAAGAGCTGGTTAAAGCTCTACAGATGAGGAATTTAGAAACAATTTTCAAAGCATGGTTACTCAAGCTGGAAGTTAGCTTTTAGCCAGACTTTAATACAGCTTCCAATATTGCAAATAAAAATTTGCAACTGCAGCTGGGTTGTTTGGTTTTTGAAATAACTACATCCATAATCTTCAAGAATAATTGAAAGTTAGCTAAAATCTCTGGCATGTATTTGTCACTGAGGGATTCTGGATCCTTTGGATGGACGAGACATCTATATATTGTCATCAAAAAACAGCTCACCAGAAAAAGGATATCTCAAGTTTAAACAGGTTTTATGAATCTTGTGGTCCTTCTAAATGCTCATTTTAAATAACTCCCTTTCAGCCTGCTTAGAACATCTTCTGAATTTGACTTCAGGGCTCACAGAGAAGATACCACAAATACGGGTCATTTTAAATGCTTCAGTTGATCCCATTTCTACTGAAGGGTAAAACAGATGCACAACATGAAGATACAGTACCTTATTTAAGATTTTAATTTTTTGCCTGACATAACAAAAAAAACCCCTTAAGTAACAGGAGGAGCCACAAAGTAAGAATTTTTGTATCACAAGGCACTATTTTCTAAATGGTTCCTGTTCCAAACACTTTGCCATTTCATGTGCCTCCAGTACACCACTTAGTCACTGAATGTGTTGTATTGAAGGCCTCTGACAGTTGGCCAAAGCGAGAGGCTACATCATTATCAGAGCAATGACTGCTTGCTTTTGGTTGTATTGATGATAGTATGGAATAGTTTACTGCATCCTTTTGTGCATATTGTTTTTCATCTGCCAATGAAGAAATGTTCTAATAGTGACAAACAGATGGGATACAGCATTTGCCAAAGAGAGCATGGAGCCTGTCTCTGGGTCACATTCTTTTGCACTTATAACCTGTACAAAACCACTGTCATCAGTGAAACTCCATGGAATGTAAAATAAATCAAATTGAAATTTGGCCTTCTAAGCTGCAGATTTTTGTTTACTTGTTTACTCCATTAAATCTTTTAGATGCCGTACCAGATGATTTTTCATAAAACCTTGGGGAAAACTCTGGAGAACTCTCTGTAATTAAGTAAGGCAAAGGCAAATAAGCAAAGCTTACACGTTGTCTTCCAAGTGGCTGGATTAGCACTCAGCAGATATGCCCATACTGCAGCCGAAGTTGGGGCTGCTGGCAGAGCTCCTTCCAACCCCCAAGCTGGCTGGATCAGCTTTTAGAATGAGAAATCGGTGTCATGTTTTTTGGGTTTTGGTATGGACACATCAGCTCTAACTGTGAGAGCAGAGGATTGGAAGCAAAGTTTGGTAAAGGTTAAGTTTGCAGCAGAGAACCTCCCACCAGGGCTCTGGCTCGAAGACATTCTTCTCTGGCAAAGAAGTCTGTGCCTTCTCCCATACTCATTAAAAGTCATTCACCACCACTCTGCAAAGAGAACAGTCACAAGGGAAGAGGAAAACAAGAAAAGAACAAAAAGAAGAGGCAGGTGGGAGAAAATGGTCCAGCCAGTCTTTCTGATGAGAAAAACTAAGGTGAAACCATGACACCAACATGGATTGCAAAAAAAATTGTGAGTGAGGTCAAGAGGGTTAAGAACCCAGTGATCCTTGGAGCTCACACATGTGTGCACATACATGCAGAGCTGTGCTAAGAGCAGCAGTTGTGTGGGGATTGGCTGGAGAATGGGTACTGAGGAAAAGCAACAAGAAGGAGCTCATCATTATCAAGTGAGTGAATAAGTTATCCAGAGACAGAGTTCCTGTGAGAGGAATGCATCTTTGGAAAAGAAAACATGACCTATGTGGTCAGAGATGTAACCACCTCTATTGTCAGCACATGGAGACAATCTGATAACACAAATAGTGAATGAACTCCCCATGCCAACAGCAGGCTCCCTGATCTGCTTTAGGGAAATTTCTTACTCAGTCTTCTGGCATGAAAAGCACATGCTAGAACTGTTGAGTTTTTCTTAGATCTGACTCTGAACTAAATGTTTTCAAGTAGTTTGTTGTTGGTTTGTTTGTTGTTGTTTTTTTAACCACAGCTGTTACAATATAGTACATCACTGTGGTTGTAGTCAACCTGCCATCTACATGGCTGACTACAAGGCTAGGATCAAGGCATAGCACTAATTCTAATGGGCAGTTTATGAAAGGTATTGCTGCAGTTGGAACAAAAAAAACCCAAAACCCAATATCCTCATGTTAAAGCTAACTTGTAATCAAAATGCCATAAGACCAAGTCCATCTTAGAACTGTATACAATTCTGGCTGTAACACCCACTCTGCATTCTCATTGTGAACTTTTAGCGGTTCCTAAATTCTTTTGAAAGATTAAAAGCCTTTCCTTGTTGCTGTGACTTGCCAGAAGGATAAGTGCACCAGCAAATATTTAAGAATAACTGTCTCCGCTCCACCAGCAATAATTGAATATTTTCTCTATCCAGAAGTTTTATTCTGAACAAGACCACTATTAACTTTTCTAATGAATATTCTTTAGGTTGCAGATATGACCTTTTCGAGCTTTCTCTTGCAAAAAATTATGGGTCCATGAGCCCCCTCCTTTGGTAAATCTGGAAGGAACCCAGGAGTCTGAATCTGCGTATTGGATTTAGCCAAGATACAGAAAATTGTCAGAAATCACCCATACCTATGCAGACACACATACACATTACCACACACATCTGGGAGCAGCTATTTTAAAAAAACTAGGACAGACTATAAGCTTTTTGGCAGGACCATCTGTAGAAATGATATTTTTCCTGATACAAAAGGCACCTATGTAAAATACATGGTGTCTTTGGAAGGCAGGGTAACCATCTATCAGTGTGCATTATGCTTTAATCTTATTATGTGTTTGATAATAATAATAACATAGGATTTTTTTTTCATGTTACTATCATGCAGCAAAGTTCCAGGCCCCTCACAAAAACACAGCTGACTGTTCTATGCTGTGAGTGCTGTCATGGTTGGTTTAGTGCATGAATCTTGGATGCTTTATTTGTATGCTTTGTAGTTGCTTCTGCCATCTTTGATTAGTATCACCTGGAAATCCCAGCTTTTCTGCATGTAGTCACACCCAAGAGGAAAGACTGACTCGGAAAAGATTAGTGTCACTTTGCTTTTTCTCCTCATCTTTTCCCTGTAAAGGAGGAGAGCTTTCTGATCATGGCAGTGTATCAGTAAAGATAGCCTAGATACCAAATACCTTAAGGGCCTCAATCTCCTCTCATATGTCCCAGAATTAAAGCTGGAATAACTCTGTTGACTTCAGTAGTGATTTATACCTGCATTAGTGAAAGGATAATCAAGTTCTGGGGTTTGTATGAGGGATACTATGAATTTTGTTCTTTTAGCTTGTTAAACAGACAGTACCAAATGCACATTTCCATTAAAGAGAAGATTGTAACGTTAAGGATGTCTTTCTCCCAAACCATTTACACCTGTACCCATTTGGTGGTGATGAGGGTTGGCAGCATGAGAGCAGCCCTTATACAGACTCAAGAAGCAAATTTAGAGGTTTCCCTCACCACAAATGCACAACTTCTTTTCTAGTGTTTGGGTCGCAAACTGTCTTTGTGAGAGAACAAAGATATAGGAACCAGTAAACATTCACACACAAACTAAAGC